GTCTGCTTTTCCCTCTTCCTCTGCTCCCCACACACTCCCCACCAGTGTGCTCTTTAAAAAAAAAAAAAAAAAAAAAAGATAATTAGTGGCACCTGGGTGGCTCAGTCAGCTAAGTGTCTGACTCTTGTTCTCAGCTCTGGTCTTGATCTCAGGGTCATGAGTTCAAGCCCCTCATTGTGCCCACACTCAGCGTGGAGCCTACTTAAAATATATATATATATTTTAACTAATGTTAAAACAAATCAGATTGGGAAGACATTTTCTTGATAGTCCTTTTATTCTTTTTAAATTTTACTATTCTTTTATTTTTAATTCTGTTATTTTTTTGTCCTATGCTTAACTCTTATTGACAATATATTCTGTATCTTATTTTCTATTGCAACTGAGATTTGTATTTTAATCTAAATTTAACTTATTTGCACATACTGCCTTTACCATTTTGGCCAACATTTTTCATGGCATCCACATACCTCTTGTTTTTCCCCACCCCCTCCCCAATTCTTTTCTGTTCTCCACTAGATAAATTGAGTGTTATACTTAAGATCTGAAACTTAAAACATTGTATTGATCCTAGTGTATTAACAGCCATACTTACACTTCTATTTTTCTGTCATTTTCTCAAGTTTATCATTATCTGCATCTCCTCAAATAAGACACTGCCCCATCACTACTGTGAATGGTGCCAACTTACCCTTTGGAGTTGGGGGACTGGTGGTGGTGGGCAGGACCCCGAAATCTGAGAACCTCTGATGTAATAATATGAACTTCTACTCTGCCAACACTCTTTCTGAAGTGATCTTCTACTCAGGTATAGGTAATGTGGAGGGAAAAGGGGGTGCTCGGAAGCTAATCAGGCCATCTTCACAAGCCAGCTTGAATACTACATCAGTGTTACACTACAAGAACTGCCCCCCCACTACCCCGTGGTTCATACCAGGCTAAGCACTGCTCAGAGTAGTAATGGAGCAATGATCCACCTAGAGCAATGAGAAAGAAACAGTTACTGAAAAATATCCCAAAACACCTCTTCATGCCAAGTCCTCTTTTATTCTGAAAAACTGTTCCATATATACACACATATATTCAGATTCCACACAGGGAAGCATTATAGCATTATGTCAAGAACATAAACTCTGGAGTTTCAACTGATCAAATTCTGAATCCCAGGTAATCATGCAATAACTCACATAACCTCAAGCTCTCCAAGCTTCAGTATGCCATCTTTAAAATGTTATGACAATTCTTATTTCTTAGAAGATTACTGCAAGGATTAACTGAGAAAATGAAAGTATATGCCCCTGCATGACACAGAAAGCATTCAATGTTAGACATTATCAAATATGTTTTATAAATTATGGAAAAATTAGATGATCTCTAAAATGCACTCAGTCCTAAGGATATACTACTAACTCTAAGTATCCTGAGGAAGTCAAAACTCTAACTTGAAAAGCACAGCATACTGGGGCACTGGGTTAGGAAAGCAAGCAGAAGGTGCACATCAAACAACATTCAGGTTCCACTGCCTAAACATCCTACAGCCATGGCAGCTCTTTATTTTGTGCTAAATGCTGATTCCCTGATTCAGCTATGAAAGAACTACTCCCTATAAACCGTCAGTAAGATACAGATGATAATATTCACCTATAATGAATAGAATTCTAAAATTCAATATCTGGGAGAAGAAAAAATTATACTAATTTGAAGCAGTAAGGTCTCCATTATTTTAATTTATTGATAAAATCAGTTCTACACATGAAGAACTCAAACAGAAAATAAATTCACTAGAATGTCCACAGTATGTATCAAGAATCAGAAACAAGAAAGTGACCATAAAATAGAAAATTTCCTGAAAATCTTATAACCAGTATTGAAAGTCCCAGGGTACCAGTGAGATTACCCCAAGGACCAACCAAAAGTCATATGGTAATTAAAAACTTCATATAATTCCCCACAATGAAAGCAAAAAAACAATATTTATCTTGCTTAATCCATAAAATTAATCTGAGGATCACATGAAACAACAGAGATCAAATAAACAATGCTTATAAACTTTAAGGTAGGTAAAAAAAAAATTGAAACCCATTCATATTTAATATTTCCCTCTAAATTCAGATAAGAGCTACATAATTAAACATCTATTCTAGCCGCAACAACCTTAGGAAGTTGGTACTATTAATTATTCCCACTTACAAATGAGGAAATGAAGGATTATAGAAATAAAGGTAAATCACCAAGGTCATATAACTGATAAACATAGATAGTTGCATTCAAATTTAGATCTGACTCCAAAGCTCATGCTTTTAACCGCCATGTTACTAAATCCAGACCACCTCTGTAAAGATCAACAGATTAAAAGAAATGTTCATAAAATAGGAACCATTCCAGAGATACTATATATTGTACACTGCCCAATACAAAAGGGCCTCATTCCCTAGACCATGAATAGAAAGAAAATCAGTTCTTTTCCCATATCCTATTTTTCTTTAAAGGATTTTTTAAAACTCCCTGATGCATGTTCTTTCTCAGACATACTTGAATTTAGTGATGTGACAGTTAGATCAAAGTCTAGGACAGCTGCAGAGATGAGGACAATATCAGTTAAGAGCAAATTATAAAAATATGTGACAATTTTCACAGAGCTGGCTCAAAGTGCCTCTTATTGGGCTCTAACATAAGAGGATACCTTAGAAAAAGTGACCCTGGTCAAATGTCACCAGAGTAATTTGAGAAAAAAAAGCACATGCTAATAAATCGGCATATCATGTTCATGTAATTATCTTAGACTCAAAAGATTGTAAGCTTTTACACTGTTATCTTTTAGGATGAGATGGTCATGTTTCAGACGGCTGTCCTAGTAACTTATAAGGGTAATCACTGAAACTCAGTTACCCCCACAATGGCTAAAAACAAATATAAAAACTATTCAAGAATGACACAAATACAGTCTTCACTCTCTATGGTACAAGAAATAAATCACAAGCCCATCTGTGTGAGACCTAGCGAATAAGAACACTATATGAGAGGGGTACGAAGAAAAGGATGGATTGCCAAAAGGAAAAAAGCCATTTATTAGACTGTGACAAGCTTTTCAATGTTTGTATTATCATTAACCAACTGCCTGGTTCTCTTAATTTATACACGTGTCACCTCTAGCCAATGCTAGCATAGTAGTAAACTTGGAAATCGGCTCACCTCTAAAACACTGGCACCCTCTTCTGACCCTTTTGTAGTACTGCATGCACACCAGTTACTGGGGTGAAAACTCCTTTTTGGGGGGGGGGCGGTGAAAACTCTTAATAAGCCGTAAGTTAGTAACTTTGCAGGTAACATTTTCCAGATAATTTTATATTTGCAATTCTCTGGTTGAACATAAAATCAGCTTAATAAAACTATAAAACAAATCTAAATAAAATGTATGCCAATGAAAAGAAAACCGTATTCTTTTAATATTTTCAGTTTATATATATAAGCTGATTTTAATATAATAGCTATAATGATGACAGTAATAGACAAAGGCTTTATACTGTATGCAATAAACTAGTTTAATCCTAACAACCTGATGAAGTAGACACATCTTACAGATGTAGGAAAAGTGAGGCACAGTGAAGTTAAATAACGTGCCCAGGATCACATTCTTGGTAGGTAACTAGTAGAGCTGAATTTCAAACTCAGTAACTATGACCCCAGAGCCAAAACTAATTTTTATCTAAAATATCCTTGTGAGGAAGAATGAGGTTGATATCCTGCTAATATGAAACGTGATTGATAAAAAAAAAAAAGTCCAAGTTGTAAGGAAAATTACAAATTCATCATCCAAATCTCTCATTTTCAGCAAAGTCCCAAACTGTACAAAAATCAAATATTACATGAAAGAGTTTTGGTGATTTCCCCATTCCTCCACACTTGATGATTCTCATCTTCCGCTATCTATATTGTTTTTATGCGTTCTTTTTAATCCTCATTCCTCTTTTCCATCTAAGTATGCCCTTATTTACCTATCTGATTCTTTAAAAGAAAAAGGAAAAAAAAACTAATCCACATTGTATGCTTTATTTTTCTTCTATACAGCAGAACTACTTATCTATTTCTACCTAAATTCCCTATTTCACTAGGCCTTTTAAAAAATATTTAAGACAATAAATTCATATAGCATCATCAATTCCTTCTCTTGGATCATTACAAATATGATAGATTCTCATCTGTATGGAATTATTTAAGGTACTCCTACCTATAAATAGGGCTGACAGACTAATCTCCTAAGGTTTCTAAAAATATTAACTTCATTTTTTTCCAAAGATTTTATTTATTCATGAGAGACAAAGAGAGAGAGAGAAGAGAGAGAGAGAGAGAGGCAGAGACATATGAAGAGGGAGAAGCAAGCTCCATGCAGGGAGTCTGATGCAGAACTCGATCCCGGGACTTCAGGAGAATGCCCCTAAGCCATAGGCAGATGCTCCACCACTGAACCACCCAGGCATCCCCTAACTTCACTTTCAAACAAGATATGAGGGCACATTGTCTCATGATCTGTAGTTCAAAACAAGATCTACCTAGAACATTTCTAGATTCTGCAGTTTGCCTACATAAAGCTATTCATAATATCAGAAATTAAGAACACAATAATCTCAACAGAGAGTAACCACCCTCACTGCCTTTCATGACTAGAAGATTCACCATGGGTGAAAACAACAGATTCCTTTGGATTTCTTTTTTACAACTATCTTTTCATTTCATAATGTTAAAGTATACTTGGAAGTACAAACTTGGGGAATGTTCAAAGAATTAAAAAACACACATAAACTACACCAAATTTAATTAGTTAGATCTAAGAACAATTGAAACAAGACAGTTATATTTTAGTATAGGAAGTGATCACATTGCTAAAGAATCATTATATTATTCATATCTCCCAAATCTAAGTATAACAAAAACAGCACAGGTGATATACATGAAAAGGTGTCAAGGAAGTGATTCCCTGAAAATGCCAGAATTCTTTTTACCTCAGTCTGTAGGATGGCAGCCCGTTGTTCTTTAGCAGTCAAGGACTCCTTCAGCACTTCAATGTGTTGCTTACTGTCTGAGAACTGGTTTGTGAGTGTTTCTAGCTTTGTCTGTAGGGCTAGTAGTTCTGTGTCCTTTCTGGACAGCTCCTGCTTCACCTGACCAATCTAGAGAAGAAAATAAAACACTGTAAGGAACAAAGAAATGAAACAACCACATTTGATCTAGATCTTTGACAGATCTTAGTCACAAAATATGAAACTAAATATAGTACTATTAGTTTTATGACAAAACATAATTAATTCATCCTTTTGCATCATCTAATCTTGGATAACCACCCATCACAAAAAAAAAAAAGTTTGTCAACAAATAGGGAAATTCCAGTTTTCATTTATTATATCTCCTAAATACTCTTCAAAATCCCTTAGATAAAGAACAGAAGGAGAAAAATTCCAAATTCAATTAGATTACTATGAAATAGCAGGAAGCATCTGAATATCACTGTGCTAATCAGTTTTCATTTTATTAAGTCAGACCCCTTAAAACATAAAGCAGGATTAGTGTAAAGGTAAAACAGAAGGGAAAAAGAAAACCTCCTAGCACTGCTATTTAAAGTTAAATTCGAAAGGTGCTGCTGGTATACTTTTTATTTTTTCATTTGCAAACAAAAGTTCACATAAAATCATCTTAAAAAGCCCACTTTCGTGTTATGTGGCATTATCAACCCATGCCTTTTAGAAATCATTTAATTTTGATGAGTTAGAGATATTGACCTAAGAAAAGATTCTACCTACAAAATCACATCATCTACAACATGCCATACCAACTAAATGGATAAAAGTATATGACTTAAAAGCATAAAGGCTCATTCTTTAAGAATCTGCATGTGTAATTTGAATCTGAATTACTGACAGAGTAATCCATAAGAGGTGCCATTCACTCTCCCATAAATTTTTCCCCTCTTAAAAAATGTTTATGTAATACCTCATTTACATTTCTGTTTCTAAGAATTTTCTAAATAGTCTCTCATTCTAAATGTACACCAAATAAACAAAAATCAGACTTGCTTTTACCTTCTGTCTCCTGCCTAGTAAAGTAGCTGTGCACTAACAGATTAATTATTGGAAGTATAAATCTGATAAATCACTAATTTCAATATTACTGATGAAATGAAAAGTCCTTTGCTATTTTTTTTCATTGAACATACCTACAGTATTTTCACTATAATAATCTTTGGTATAAAGGACAATTTTGAGAACAATTCCCCATGAGGAAATATGAAATAAATATTATTTTAAATAAAATTAGGCTTTTAAGAAGCCCTAAAAATATATTTCTGATTTACTCTTCTTGTTTAGCAAGAAGACAAGCATTTTTTCATATGCATGAAAATTCTATTTGTAGATTTAGTTATTCATTAACCCCACAAATATTTCTATTTGCTTACTGTATGCAAACTACTGAGGATACTAAGAACATCAGTGGAAGAAGACTATACATGGCAGCTACCTTCACCCTGTAATACGAGTATGTACCCTGGAACTACCACATACTATAATGTTGGGGCATCTCCACCCTGTAATATGAATACGTACCCTGGAGCTACCATGTACTGTAGTGCTGGGGCATCTTCACCCTGTAATATGAATATGTGTCCTCGAACTACCACGAACTGAATGCTAGGGCATCTTTCATGACATCCCCTCTCCAACAAAAAAACACCTATTTATAGCATTCCATCCTTAACGTACAGGTTGCACTAAAAACACACTTGCTGTATGAATGAACATACGGGAGAAATGTTTAAAATGTTATCACTCCCTCAACTAAAGAACTGCTACAATTTAAAGATTATTCATATTTCCAATTATCTCCAATCACATGGTTAAAAATAATTAGAAAATCCCTGTTTTCTCATCGTCTACTTTATTAAATAATCCTCAAATAATGCTATATTGGCCATAAAGACTGAGAAGGGAAAGAAAATATTCTAATGGAAAGCAGAGTTTAGAATTAGAAGTACACATTTTCCAGAAAAGCTTGGAGCATGAGGCTTTGCAATCACTCACACCTGAGGATAAGTGTGTCTTTTAGTATTTACCTAAGCTTTGCTTTCCCAATCAATAAAATGGGAACAGGAAACCAATATTACTGTACTGTTTGGAGATTAAATAAAATAATGTCTGGACTGCGCTTAGCCTGTTGTCTGACACAACAAAGAAATATTTATAATAGCTAAGGGGAAAATAGTAAACTTACACATCAACTAGTCCTCTAGACAATAGTTACCATAAACCAAATGAGTTCCTTCTAGATAAAATATTTCACTTTACTAGCTGTACTATAAAGGGGTTCATAAACAATAAAAACATCAAATTACCACAAGTTTTTATTTTTTTAATGCTGCATTCCTGTCTTATCCCACAATTATTTTCAGTAGCAGTTTTTTCCTGACTTTGTGCAACATATGTGCACATGGCCTAGGACAGGCTAGAATACTGAAGAGCTCACCAGCACAGGTTCTGGAACCAGATTGCTTGACTTTAAAAAAAAATCAAGCTCTGCCTCTTACCAGCTATTACCTGAGCGTCATTCTGCTACCTTGGTTTCCACATCTACAAATTGGGCTTAGATGATATACCGACCTTAGTAGGTTGTAAGTGCTTGAGTGTTAGCTATTTTATTATTTTTTTATATTTTGAAATGGAATTTTAAGTTCTTTAGACAGAAGATTAAACTAGATTGAGAGACATTATGTTTCATGCTAATTCTAATCTACTAGATAACTCTAATCAAATCACTTTCTGTTCTAAAATAAGTAACATTTGTTGGAAAATCACCTAATGGAGAGTTAAATACATATGAAGCTAAAGCACTTTACTCATGAATTTCAAATTCTAGGAAAGGTGATCTTAAAAGTTCTCATCACAAGAAGAAAAAAATTTCGGGGCAGCCCTGGTGGCGCAGCGGTTTAGTGCCACCTTCAGCCCAGGGCCTGATCCTGGAGACCCGGGATTGAGTCCCATGTCGGGCACCCTGCATGGAGCCTGCTTCTCCCTCTGCCTGTGTCTCTGCCTTTCTCTCTCTCTCTCTCTCTCTCTCTCTGTGTGTGTGTGTGTGTGTGTGTGTGTCTCATGAATAAATAAATAAAATCTTAAAAAAAGAAAAAAGAAAAAAAATTCGGACTATGTATGGTGATGGATGTTAACTAGACTTATTGTGGAGATTTCACTATATATAAATATCTTAAATCATTATGTTACAAATCTGAAACTAACATAAAGATAGATCAATTATACCTTACTTCATTAAAAAAAAGAATTTCAAATTCAAATAATCTCAGAACCTAGAACATCTGCAGAAATAAATCACCATTCATGTAAATCAAAAAGTATCTACAAAAAGAAAAGAGAAAAAAAACACACTTTGAAGTACCATCCATAGAGTGAAAAAAGCAACAATAAAGAACCAGAACAAGTGAGGGCTCACTGCACACAAAGTGACATATGGGTCAAACTGGTGAACAGGAGTCGGTTAAAGAGCAGAGCAGGCTGGTTAGTGCTAGTATTGGGCAAAGTTGCCAACCAAAGAGAATGAAAGTATAAGCCACCCAGAAGCCAGAGCTAGCAGGGTCCCACTGTGGGATCGCTGCACACAGAGAGTAAATCTTACGGCAAAGACCTCAGCCTGAAGACCAGCCGCTCTCTTTTTCAGCTCCTCCCCTTGAGCCTCTTTCGAACTTAGTTCCTCCTTCAGTTGCTCTACCTGTCACGACATTGTTATTCTTTTTCACTTATGTGTCAACTTTGGTCTTATTATCTGCTTTTCAGCCAGATATAACAATAACCTATATAACACAATCAAACTTGTTTCCCTAGTTCCCTCTTGAAAGCACCCTAGATAGTTTCTCTATTTTCAAGGGTTTTTTTAAATGGATTTAAATGTGCCAATCAGCAAGTGGAAAGCACAGATTATACTGTAAGCATATTTTATTATCAAATTGGGGTGAAAAATACAAACTAATAGAACGTTGGATATGTGAATTTTTAGGTTCTAAAATTAACATAAATTGTCAGTAGTCACTGATAACAGATTCTTAAAATAATAAAGGAATATTCTACTGACTTTTATGCCAGGTATGGGCACCACAGCAAGAAGCCAGAAACTGGAAAGGAAATTAGAATAATCGTGTATCATTCCTTTACAGTTTTCCGCTCTGAGAAACTGGAAAACTAACACAAGTGAGACGCAAGAGTTATTTTCTAGATAATATTTCATAATCACAATTATGATTTTTAATTAAACCAGAACAAAGCTAGCTAATTTATAACTATGATAAACTAGACCCTTCAATTTGCCTACATAGTTCATAGAATCAAACTAAATGGCTTTGGATCTAAGGAAAAACTACTGTGACTGAGTTTCTAAATATGGACTGACATGTCTTGCTGATATGTATTCCACTGTAGATATATCTGAGTGCACATGGGAAACCTAATACAAATGGATCTTCTCCAAGGGACAGAGCATCGGGCTTCCCTTTATGGAACTTTCCCTTTCCCTTTATGAAGGGAAAATAATATATGATCTAGGTCATTTCAGGGGAAAAAAAAGGTGGAGGGACTGGGTTCAGCCTCTTGGGGTTTTGACTTTTAAAATACTACACAAGAGTTGCAGAACTTGGTTGGTATCTCATGTAGTGAGAAAAACTCAATTTGGATATAATTCTACTAAATCACCTCAGAAGTACTGATAGATATAAATATTAAACTGTGACAATACATATCAGCCTCACAGGAATAATTTTCTTTTAAGTGAAAACTTGAAGTAACTATACATCAGTAATTCTGACTTCAGTTTTAGGAAAGTTCCATTTGAAAGAATTCTAAGAATTCTATCTTTCCCTGAAGTCTGACAAAACAATGTGAAGCTCTTCATCATCACTAAGGAAATAGAGACATGCATCAGGTTTCTTAAACCTCTTTTAAAAATTACAGTATCACACACCATTACCTTATTTTTCATAAATTTAGAATGGCTCCGATAGACCTCCATTTGTTTCATTTCTTCCTCCCGTTCTTCAGTACTCAAGGCCCCATTTGATTTCAGCATCTGAATTTCCTCTTCCAAGTCTCGGAGCCCACGCTCCATAGAGGAAATTTTTGAATCCTGAAGACAATGGAAGATTTAGACATTAAAGTATTCACAAAGAATCAGAGAAGCTGAAAAACTCAGTCTTTACAGATAGTGAATTTAATAAAGATAAACAACTATCCAGGAAAACTGCTGCCTAGCAATTGGTGCCTTGCTTCCAAATTATATCTTTATGGCCACTTGAGTGAAAGGAGGAGAGTTCATATCTAGAATATGATTTTTCTTCTGTCTCTTCCTCCAGTCTGTGCCCTTTCATTAAAGAAGCAGAAGCAATGGCAAGTTAAAGTTTCTTTGTACTTCATGGTCAATAAACTTCTAGGAAAAAATTTTATAATATTAACAGCAAAACCATTTCTAGCTACTATCATTCTACTCTGGACCCCTAAAAGGTTTATTTATTTCTGTTCCCAAAGGAGGAAGAAGAAGAGTAAAAATGTCTCAAAGATTTATGTAATAATACTCTCAATAATATTCTATAAGCATCCTACTGTAAGAATAACAAAGGGATGAATAATTATGCTAACAATTACAGTTTATCATATTACTTATTCTCTATAGTTCTCTACACATTTGAATAGTTTTCTACATATTTGAAGTATTTTGCATAACTTTTTTCAAATCACTATCCTTATAAACCATCATCTCCACAAATATCACCTCTCAGTAGAACATTCTTCTATGTTCAATTTCTTGGTTAGGTTTGTCACAGTATCTAGTTTATCCACAGATTACTTTAGATGTTATCAATTACAGGAAGATCATTTTAGATGTCAATTACAGAAAAATTCCTACATAGAATGAACACTTTTATATCTAGAGTTGTATATGTTTATTCACCTAAGAAATAAAGTAGAAGAAGCATAAATTAAGTACAGTTTTGTTTTATTTGGAATTTTAGAGAAATCAATCCTTTAGAAAGAAAGCAATTTTAAAATTACTTCCTTTTGTACTTTACTTCAAAGATTTCTTGATTGACATTCTTGCCTACCATAATTCTTTGAGCATGCAGATGAAAGTTAAAGCATTTATCATGAGACAACTACAACTAGCAATTTTTAGGTTCAAGAGAGAGAAGGGAGATGGGATGTATCCCGTTTTGCATTGTATTACCTTTAAAAATATAACAACAGGGATCCCTGGGTGGCGCAGCGGTTTGGCGCCTGCCTTTGGCCCAGGGCGCGATCCTGGAAACCCGGGATCGAATCCCACGTCGGGCTCCCAGTGCATGGAGCCTGCTTCTCCCTCTGCCTGTGTCTCTGCCTCTCTTTCTCTCTCTCCCTGTGTGACTATCATAAATAAATAAAAATTTAAAAAAAAAAAATATAACAAAAATTTTCCTTTATCAATCTATTCAAATTAAACTTACATTTGGTTCAAAATTATTTTTTTAATATTTTATTTATTTATGCATGAGAGACACAGAGAGAGGGGCAGAGACATAGACAGAGCTTCATGCAGGGAGCCCAATGTGGGACTCAATCCCGGAACTCCAAGAACACGCCCTGAGCCAAAGGCAGATGGCTCAACCACTGAGCAACCCAGGCATTCCCATTTGGTTCAAAATTAAATGCACTGAATTAATACAATCAAAAGATACTCTAACCCTAAATTCTCAATTACTTGTTTAAAATTAGTGGGTGCATCCCATTTCTATCACAGCCCCCCAAAAATAAAATTTAGTGGGCCACAATTAATCTCCTGGCCTATAAAGAATAAATACAGGCATAACTTGAAGATACTGTGGGCTGGCTCCAGATCACTGCAGTAAAGTAAATATCACAATAAAGCAAATCAAATAAATGTTTTGGTTTCCCACTGCATATAAAAAAATTATGTTTCCACGAACATAATTTTTAATGAAAAAAGTATATAGCTTAATCTAAAAATAACTTATTGCTAAAAAATATTATCATTTGAGTTTTCAGCAAGTCATAACCTTTTTTGCTGGTAGAGGGTCTTGCCTACATGTTGATAGGTGCTGACTGGTCAGGGTGGTGGTTGCTAAATTTGGGGTGACTGTGACAATTTCTTAAATAAGGCAACAAAGAAGCTTGCTGCATTAATTAAAACTTTTCCTTTCACGAACAATTTCTCTATAGCATGTGATACTGTCTAACAGTATTTTACCCACAGGAGAAATTCTTTCAGAACTAGAGTCAATCCTCTCAAACCCTGCTGCTGCTGCTGCTTTACCAACTAAGATTATATAATATTCTAAAGCCTTGGTTGTCATTTCAACAACCTTCACGGCATCTTCACCAGGAGTAGATCCCATCCTAAGAAACCACTTTTTTTTGCTCATCCATAAAAAGCAACTCCTCACCTATTCAAGTTTTAGCATAAGATTCAAGAAATTCAGCCACACCTCAAGTTCTACTCCTAATTCTAGTTCTCTTGCTCTTTCCACCACATCTGCAGCTCTTCCTCCACTGAAGTCCTAAACCCCTCAAAGTCATCCAGGAGGTTGGAATCAACTTCTTTCAAACTCCTATTCAGGTTGATATTTTTACCTCTTCCCATGAATCACAAATGTTCTTATTGGCATCTAGAGTGGTGAATTCTTTCCAAAAGGTTTTTGATTTACTTGGCCCAGAGATCCTTCAGAAGCATAAATTAAGTATAGTTTTATTTGGAATTTAACAAATTTTACAGATGCTCTCTATGGCAGCTATAGCCTTATAAATATATTTCTTAAATAATAAGACCTGGAAGTCAAGGGGCACTTAGGTGGCTCAGTCAGTTAAGCATCTGCCTTCAGCTCAGGTCATGACCCTAGGATCCTGGGATCGAGCCCCACGTCGGGCTCCCTGCTCAGCACAGAGTCTACTTCTCTCTCTCTCTCTCTCTCTCTCTCTCTCTCTCTCCCACTTCCCCTGCTTGTGCTCACTCTCTTTCTCTGTCAAACAAATAAATAAAATCTTAAAAAAAAAAAAAAAAAAAGGCCTGGAAGTCAAAATGACTCCCTGATCCATGGGCTACAGAATGAATGTTTTGTTATTAGGCACAAAAACAACAATAATCTCTTTGTATACCTCTATCAGAGCTCTTCAGTGAACAGGTGCATTGTCAATGAACAGCCATATTTTGAAAGGAATCTCTTTTTCTCTGTAGTGGGTCCCATCAGTGGCCTTAAAATATTTAGTAAACCATGCTACAAATAGATGCACTGCCATCTAGGCTTTGTTTACAGAGCACAGGCAGCAGAGACTAAGCATAATTCTTAAGGCCCTAGGATTTCTGGAATGGTAAATGAGTACTGGCTTCAACTTAAGGCCCTAGGATTTCTGGAATGGTAAATGAGTACTGGCTTCAACTTAAAGTCATCAGCGCATTAGCTCCTAACAAGAGATTCAGCCTATCTTTTCAAGCTTTGAAGCCAGGCACTGACTTCTCTAGGTATTAAAGTCCTAGATGGGGATCCCTGGGTGGCACAGCGGTTTGGCGCCTGCCTTTGGCCCAGGACGCGATTCTGGAGACCCGGGATCGAATGCCACGTCGGGCTCCCGGTGCATGGAGCCTGCTTCTCCCTCTGCCTGTGTCTCTGCCTCTCTCTCTCTTTCTGTGTGACTCTCATAAAAAAAATTAAATAAATAAATAAATGAATAAATGAATAAATGAATGAATGAATGAATGAATGAATAAATAAATAAATAAATAAATAAATAAATAAATAAATAAATAGATAAATAAAGTCCTAGATGGCATCTCCTTCCAATAGAAAGTTGTTTCATCTACATTGAAAATCTGTTGTTTGGTGGAGCCACTCTCATAATGATCCTCCTAGATTTTCTGGGCAACTTGCTGCACTGTCTCCATCAGTACCTGCTATTTTACCCTGCACTTTTATGTCATGGAGATGGCTTCTTTCCTTAAACCTCATGAACCAACCTCTGCTAGCTTCAAGCATTTCTTCTGCTGCTTCCTCACCTCTTTCAGCCTTCACAGAATTGAGAGACTTAGAGCCTTGCCCTGGATTAGGCTTTGGGTCAAGAGAATGTTGTGGCTGGTTTAATCTTCTATCCAGACCACTAAAACTTTCTCCATGTGAGCAATAAGGCTGTTTCACTTTTTATCATTCATATGTTTACTAGAGTAGCCGCTTTTAATTTCCTTCAAGAAGTTTTCCCTTTGCATTCATAATTTGGCTGTTTGGTGCAAGAGGCCTGGCTTTCAAGCCTATCTTAGCTTTGGACATGCCTTCCTCACTAAGCTTAATCATTTCTAGTTTGTCATTTAAAACGAAAGACATGTGACTCTTTTCACTTGAACATGTAGAGACCACCACTGTAGGGTTATTAGTTGGCCTAACTTTAACATTATTGTGTCTCAGGGAACAGGGAGGCCTGAGGAGAGGGGGAGTTAGTTCTAGGGGAATTGCAGGTCAGTGAGGCAGGCAGAATACACAGATTTATCAAGTGGCGCCATTTATCAGTGGCACCCAAAACAACTACAACAGTAACATCAAAGATCACAGATCACCATAACAAATAGAATAATAATGACAAAGTGTGAAATATTGCAAGAATTACTAAAATGTGACACATAGACATGAAGGGGCAAATGCTGTTGAAAAAATAGCATCATCAAAAAAAAAAAAAAACAAAAACAAAAAAAAAGAAAAAATAGCATCAAACGATATGCCTGATGCAAGGTTGCCACAAACCTTCAATTTGTAAAATACAGTATCTGCAAAACACAATAAAGTGAAGCAGAGTAAAACAAGGTTATGCCTATAAACTATTTTCATTGTACTATCTGAAAATTCACCTTTAAGATTACACCTTTAAGATGTATCTTCCTGGAAATATCAGGATATAGTCCCTTAAGAATAACTAAGATACTAGGCATTTGCATGTGACTATCCAATAAATGAAATGTGGCTTACTTCTGACATTAATTGGGGGTCTTGGGGGGATGAAAAGGGGCCATTGAAAGAGGGACTGGTGTTCCAAACAAATCACCTCCAGCTATGAACTCAAGTTCTGTTCATCACATAGCCTACAAAGCCTCCACAAGGCCCCAAGAAACATTATCCATCTTAAGAAGAAATCATTTAAATTCAGAGAAAAGTTCTTATAACTATACTTAAGAAGCATCTATTTGCATAAAACCATATACCAATAAACTAAATATTCTTGTCATATCACCAAATATTAACTAAAGGCCTACAAAGTAAAAACAGTGTCAAACTTTCAAGGGAATATGAAGAGGCTAAAAAAAGAGAAAAAGAGAGAAGTTCTTATCTATAAGTCTTTCCACTTTTGTAAGAAAGAATATGATGTTCATAAAAATAACAGTAGTAGCAGCTAACAGTTTACAATATACCAGGTATTATTCAAAATATTTTACTTGCTATAACTAATTTAAAACTCAAAACCACCTATAGGATGGTGGTTTATCATCACCTTCTATCAATAAAGAAATTGAGGCATAGGGAGAGGTTAGGTAACTTGTTCTGTGTCATACAACTGATTCAAGTAAAGCCAAATTTTGAATCCAAGGAATTTAGAAGACAAGCTCTTGATCATCGTAACACAGAGCCTAAAGATTTCTAACTATTCATTAACTTAAGGCATAGTTTTTCAAAGTATGGTCCATGTTCTATGTTCTGGATCCCCCAGACCTTTTCAAGACATCTACATAGTCAAAACTATTTTCATAATAATATTATGACTTTATTTGCCTTCTCCACTATGTTAACATTTGTACTAAAGGTATATAATGGTGGAAAAACTGCTAGTGTATCAGGACAACAGGGAGTAGCACCAAACCACACCAGCAGTCATTGTACTTTACAGGTCAGGCACTCACAGAAAAAAAAGAAAAATATATTAAGGGGGAAATAAAAAACTAAGTAAGCTCTAGGCCCAATGTGGGGTTTACAATCATGACCCCGAGGTAAGAGTCACATGCTCTGCCAATTGAGCTAGCCAGGCGCCCCTAGAAATAAAATTTTTGGAAGACTGCTTCTCTTGAGAATGTCCCTAAATGAAGCAGTAAAAATTATTACTTTTAATTAATCGCAACCCTTAGGAATGCATCTTTTTAATATTCTTTGTGATGAAATGGGAAGGAGCTAGGCATCTCTGCCCATTGAAGTATGACAGTTGTTCCTTAGAAATAGCACTTATGTGCCTCTTTGAGTTGCAAGCCACATTAGATACTATTTTTATAGAACATCATTTTTACCTGAAAGAACAATTGACAAATTATAGTTTCTAGGCTATTAGGCAGACATTTTCTAAAAACGAATGAATGAGCTTGTCTTAAGAGAATAGAAGAGGGTCCCTGGGTGGCTCAGCTGTTTGGCGCCTGCCTTGGGCCCAGGGTGTGATCCTGGAGACCCAGGATCGAGTCCCACATCGGGCTCCCTGCATGGACCCTGCTTCTCCCTCTGCCTGTGTCTCTGCCTCTCTCTCCCTCTCTCTCTCTGTGTGTGTGTCTCTCATGAGTAAATAAATAAAATATTTTAAAAAGAAAAAGAAAAAAAGAGAATAGAAGAGTCCTGAGATCAAAAGGTTTAAGCAGAGCTGATTTAAAGAAATTCTGGACAAGTGTTTTTGGTCCCATTTGAGTTATGATCTATAACTAAAAGGGAATAAAACTGAAGTTCTTTTACAGTGTCATTTTCATTGTCTTACTATTTCTTCTCAATCTACAAAGTAAGTGAAATATTATCACATACCACTTTCTAAAACACACACGGAAGTGTGTAATCATTTAAAAGTTTAAAAATCACTTAAAACTGACTCAGAAGATTTTTTCATAGATTCTTACTTACCTTCATTTCAATAACAGTTTGCAGAGCTTTTGTTTTGGCGGAATCAGGAGCATTCTCAAATCTCCGGTGCATCTCCTATACAAGAGAAGCAAAAGAGAGAGTAAGTGTCTTCCTTTTCGCTCTTCTTTTGTCTTAAATAGAGGTTAGAGAAAGATGGGGAGAGAGACTAATTGTGTAAAAAAGATATACCATCCTTGTAAGACTGATCCCTGTGTACCAGACCTTCCTAGTGGATCAGAGAACCCACAGACTGCATCCAGGCTAAGGAACTCTAAGGGTCAAGCACACAGGGATAGAGTCCCTGTCTATGAACACCTAGTTAGTTAAAATTAGTCAAACAGATAAAATCAGTACGACAGATGGAAACTACAGCACAAACCCAGATTGGTCTGTCAATTTTCCACATGATTCTAAAACATATAAATCAGAACTCCAAGATCCAAAAGGTAGACTAGAAATATTCCCTTTTTAAAAGGAGAAATAAAAGCAGTCACAATCAGCCCGCACTGCACAAAGCTACTAAAAGCATTTGTGTTAACCACATCCTTTCTCTAACATCTACCCTGGAGTAACAACCTGGCTACCTATAATGAAAATCTCTCTCCAGTGGGGTAACAAGTAGAAAGACAAAATAAGGTTGTTGGGCAAGTTTCCTCATAGTTCATGTTTATAAAATGTCAGAAAAGCACAGCTATTCTTTTTAATCTCAATTTTAGTGAGTTCAGAATCAGGAAGAAAGGAAGCAATGGTAGTAATATCACAATTAAGGTCTTCAAGGGTCACAGTAAGGTTATCATTCCACCTCAGGATATTTCCTGTCAGATTTTGTGAATGTCTCTGACTTAATCAGTTAACATTTCCAAAGTACCCTGGCATAGCTTTCTAGTGATCCCAGAGAATACGCAGTTGAATACTTTCCATCTGAACCATACTTAACCATAAGAAAAGGAATGTATAATACTTATACCTATAAGTATTATAGGTATAATAATTAAACCTTTCACCTAATTTATTCATTCCTGCCTGACCAGGAAGAATGGTTTAAGAGAAACAGAAAATAGAACTGCGCAATTCACCAAATTACCTCTTCCTGGAAGAACTGTCCTGAACTGACAAAAGTTCTAAATTATTAACAGTCAACAGTTTAAAAACCAGTAACTTCTGAACATCCACATTTACCAGCTGGTTGATGAAACTATAGTGTAAACCACTATTAATACATACCACCCTTTCTGCTACTTTTCTCCCTGACTCTAGCCTTAAATATTCAAACAAGGTATCCCATCTGTATGTTTAACAAATATCTCAAACTCTTCATGCCCAAGAGTAAATTAAATTCTTGGTGGTACTCTAAAACCTGCTCCATCCTTCCAGTTACTCAGGTGAAATACCTAATTCTTAATGTCTTCCTTTCTCTTTCAAGCCACAATCAGGAAATCCAGTTAACTCAACCTTCAAAATATATCCAAAACGCAAACACTCTTACCATTTGGAGTGAGCCACTAACAAAAATGTATCTTTTAGGGGTGGCTGGGTGACACAGTTGGTTAAGCATTCAACTCTTGGTTTTCTGCTCAGAGTGTGATCTCGAGGTCCTGAGATCCAGCCCTGCACCAGGTCTACTTGGGACTCTCTCGCCCTCTCTCTGTGCCCATCCCCCCATATTTTCTATCTCCCCCCTCCCTCTCCCCCAAATAAATAAATCTTAATATATACGTGTGTGTGCCTATATATATATGTAGATATATATATATACACATATATCTCTGTATCTATATAGATATAGATATATATCTCTTTTAAATCTAAAAACAAGCTCCTAACTGGGTTCCTCACTTTTTATGTTGCTCCCCTACAGTCTATTCTCAACAGAGCACTCAGAGTGACCTTTTAGAGTATGAATTTAATCTTGTCACTCTTCTGCTCAAAACTCTTATCATGGTTCCCTATGTGACTCAAAGCAAGCCAAAGTCCCCTCAGTAGTCTACAAGACCTCATGTTTTATCACTCTTCCCTCAGTCACCATGCTTTAACTACACTGGACTCCCTGCTGTTCCTCAAATATGCTAGGCATTCTCCCATTCCTTAGGACTTTACACCAGATGTTTCCATTACCTAAACTCTTTTTCATCAATCAGCTCATGGAGAGGACTTTCTCTCCTTCAAATCTTGACTCAAATGTCTCTTCTAGATTATTAGGTTTATGATTTGTGATAATCACATTGTGGTTATACAAAAAAAAAAAAAAAAAGTCCAAATGTTTTGGCGGTGCATACCAAAGTCTATAGAGAGGTAAGTTACATCATGTCAGGAATTTGTTTTAAAATCTTTGGTGAGGGTGATGGAAGGGGAGGAGGGCCGGGGGTCGGGGTGAATGGGTGACGGGCACTGAAGGGGGCACTTGACGGGATGAGCACTGGGTGTTATTCTGTATGCTGGCAAATTGAACACCAATAAAAAATAAATTTATTATTTTAAAAAAATAGCTTAAAAAAAACAAAAGACATTTCTCCAAAGAAGACAAACAAATGCCCAGCAATACATGAAAAGATGATCAACATCATTTGGGATCAGGGAAATACAATTCAAACCCATGAGGAGTTACCAACTCACACTAGTCAGAATAGCTAAGATCAACACCTCAGGAAACAACAGATGCTGGTGAAGATGCAGAGAAATGGGACCTTCTGTTGGTGGGAAGGTAGCTGGTACAGCCATTCTGGAAATAAAAATATTAAAAAAAATAAAAATAAAAATAAATAAAATCTTTGGTGAAAAAAGAAGGAAAGGGAAAAAATAGGACACTGAAACAAAGTGTGGCAAAATTTTGGTAATTGGTATATCTGAGTTATAAGTATAGGTTTGAAATTTTTCATTAAAAAATTAATGTTTAATGTAGCACAGCATATCTTATTTTAAAACTTAAAACTGACAAAAAAGAATCCACATGTCCCTTCCCCTTTACCTTACTCTGCTTTTCCTACTCATAGCATGTACCTTCTAACCTATACATGAATGATGAGTGGATGAAAACAAAAGGCTACCAAACTTTCAAGACTTAAGGGAACCTATGAACCCCTTTCTATCCCTGTGCTGAGTTACATACACCTCCTCTTACTTCTAGATAATCTTCCTCTAACACTTACTACATTATATTTGGAATAATCTTCTCTAATATACCAGACTGTAAACTCCTTCAGGGCAAAACTGTCCTTTGTATTCCTTAAACACTGTGAGACATGTAAGTAATCATTAAAAATTATTTCTCCTCCATATCCATTCCTCTTTTGTTGGATGAAGGAAAGACTGAAAAAATGAATAAATTGTCAGCTAGTGTTAATCTTCACCTCTCTATTGGACCACTCTCTCTATCAAATAAAGAAAGGTCTTCTTGTTTCTAAATCTTATAGCTGTTGTCAGTCCACATCCCTTCTGAACTCATTTAATAGTTTTCTTTTCTTTTTTTTTTTTTAATGAGAGAGACAGTTAAGGGAGGAACATCTTTAAAATTTTCAACTGCCTTCCATTAAAGAATTATCCTAGCTCTAAAGACTTGTTCTCTCTCCTTTCCCCTATCATAACCACAGACAGACATTTTCTAAATTCAATCCTTAGAACTCTTCTCAGTTCTATATCCCCAATCCAGGGACTCCACTAGCCCACATAGAAACTTACTAGGAATTAGAAAAAAAAACAACCCCTGTAGAGTAGAAGCAACCTCAGCATGAAACACTGGTTGAGTTTTAGGCCCCACTTGCTCCATCAGCAGGAAGCTCTTGTTTGGCTGAACAGGCACACCAACAATACAGGGTAGCCCTTCTCCCAAATCCCACAAATTCAACTACAGTTGACCCTTGAACAACATGGGTTTGAACTGTGCTGGTCCACTTATACAAGTATTATTCTTTTTTTTTAAGATTTTATAATTTTTATTTATTTATGAGAGAGAGAGAGAGAGAACACGAGCAGGGGGAGGGGCAGCGGGAGAGGGAGAAGCAGACTCCTGGCTGAGTGGGGAGCCCACCTGGGGCTCCATCCCAGGAGCTCAGGACCATGACCTAAGCTGGAAGGCAGACACTTAACCGACTGAGCCACCCAGGCACCCCTACATGTATTATTTTTTCAATAAATATAGTATGGTACTATAAATGTATTTTCTCTTATGATTTTTAAATAACATTTGCTTTTCTCTAGCTCACTTAAAGAATATGGTAAATAATACATATGACATACAAACCACATGTAAATCAACCATTTATGTTATCAGTAAGGCTTGCAGTCAACAGTAGGTTATCAGTAGTTAAGTTCTGGAAGAGTCAGACACTCTATACAGATTTTCAACTAAACAGGGGTCAGCTTCCAACCCCGTCATTATCCAAAAGTCAACTATATTACATTTCCATCAATAACCTGCAAAATCTATTTCTCTAGCCTTGTAGTGGATATCTTTTTACCCTTTCTTGCCATGGTATCTAATCTCCCTTCTATGTTTGGGGATTCCATATTTTATTTTTTTTAATTTTTATTTATTTATGATAGTCACACAGAGAGAGAGAGAGAGAGAGGCAGAGACATAGGCAGAGGGAGAAGCAGGCTCCATGCACCGGGAGCCCGACGTGGGATTCGATCCTGGGTCTCCAGGATCGCGCCCTGGGCCAAAGGCAGGCGCTAAACCGCTGTGCCACCCAGGGATCCCCGGATTCCACATTTTAAGACAGTCTTCCTTCTACAACAGAAGCTAAGGATGCCACATACTTTTTCCTCAGCCTTTCTGGCAGTTAAAATCCAAACACAAGACCTAATCTCCCCAGTCAGACACATATATCACTTTGATTCAGAACCTTTTAACAGAAGAATCAGGGACCTGAATAGAGACAAGTCTGACAATGAGTGGCAGAGGCAGCAGTTACCTCAAGCTCCCAGTCTCAGGAATGGCAGAGGTTCCAAGGGTAGTGAGCAGTGTCAGTGATGTCAGCCAAACAGTGATGTCTTGGTGCTGTGTTTGTACCCTGTACCAAGAAAAGCACTGTCTACACTAAACCAATAAAGGAGCATGATGTATTTGAGACTGGTTT